GCCGCCGGTGTCCGCGTCCGCGCCGTCCCCCGCCGCACAGGCGCCGCCGTCCTTTGTCCGTCCCGCGTCTCCTGCTCGTCCGCGTAATCATTTCCGCTACGCCGATCCCGCGGACATTATACGGACGCGATAATATTAAACCGCGGTGCTGCGATTCGCGGGATACCGGCGTATACCGGCTACCTGTATCGCGCCCCGTAACGTTGTTTCGCCGCGGCACGAATAAACATTATTGTCATGGTCGTGCGTCTGAAATCCGGACCTAACGAGGGACAATGAAATTCTCGACCCGCACTTTGAACCGCACGGATATTATTATTAAATGCAAATCCGGCGGGACGCGGGCAGGCGCGGGCGGATGGGGGTTTGGCCCGCCCTCCCCCCTCCCGTCTACCGTCGCAGCGCTACGCTACTGTAGCGGTATTTACGGTATAGTGGCCGGTTAATTAATTCGGGTCCCGCAAAGACGACGACGATAATAATAATAATAATAATAATAATAATAATAATTAAAACAAATAATTTCGAGAGGATTTACGTGTGTTCGGTGTAGGCGTAACGGTATTATATCGTATTGACCGGACCGCGAAATACCGTACGCGCGTTTCCGTCACACGGCATACGCGCACATAATAATCAAGCGCGCGTCCGGAAATGCGAACAAAAAAAAAAAAATAGCGGGACGGGGCCCGAGTTTTATTATGCAGAAAGACGCGAACGCGATTCGAGTGAACGCTCGCGTGCGACGTTAGTCGCGATATTGTATTTATTACGCCCGTCCGAAAGACGGCTGGGGGCGCCGGGGGTACTAAAGCCCCGTGGCCCATCCTCCATCCGGCCCTCGGACCCGCGTCCGCCTCTATAATCGTTAAAAGCCAAGTGGAAAGGTCGCGGTAAAAGACAATTACGTATAATAATAATTAACTATACGGTAATCGAACGATTTCGCTCGTACGCGTGTGACTTGAACGAAGAATATTTGTCGCCTTCGCTTCGGTTCAGCGACTTTTGAATAATGTACATAATATATGTGTATACCGCCCATATCAAAACGTCAATCAACGTCGCCGTATTATTATTTCAGTACGACTCGCACTCGTATCGGCTCTTTCAGCTGCTCGGTCGTAATTATCATCGCCGCGTAATACAATAATAATAATATTATAATCCGCCCCCGGGACCCGCCGAGAGCGACAGTGTACCGAATAAGATCTCTCGGTTTTATTATCGCGCGGTCGTTCTGCAGACAAGCACTTTGCCACCTGAAATGCGTCTGTAACGTTATTCTCGAATTATTTTATCAATATTTACGAGAATCCGTCAAAAACCCGCGAAATTCCGTATCCGCGTTCTCTCCGCCCGTATTCGAGTCGCTATTCTGCAGGGACTGTCACTCCGTCACTCTTGTACAAACACCAACGCCTGTATTTATATTTTCCACCTTTAGGCCCGTGGGGATGGGGGTGGGAGCGGAGGATCCTTGATAAATAATATGTATATTTCGAAGCTAATACGTATATTGTATTATATTATTGCAAACGCACCAAATTTGCTCGTTAAGGGATCGGTGTCCGGAACTTCTGTAAATCCAACACCGGTCTACACCCGTCGCGCTTTAGACTCGCGTCTTTCTTCGATATCATTACCCAATCGATTGCGCGTTTTAAAGTATTAAGGTTCAGTTATATAAAACTCGTATACACATGGCAAAGCTCGAGATTGAGGCGGGCAGAGTGGTTCATTCGCGGTGGTTTTGCATTAAATTATAATAATTCACGTTACATCCGTAGGTGTAGTAAAGATGATACGCGATATTATGTCGAGTCCAATAACGATACCTACACATAAATCTGTACATAATGTATTGTATCGTAGTTTACATAAATAGATTATAATTCGCGTGGCGTTTACGTTTATCAATGAAATTATTCAAATTGATAAACGAGGTTATTTTTCGATTATTGTACTACGCGAACGCTAAATTTCGTACGAAAATGCGTGACGTATCCAATTAGAAATTCGACGATATGATACTATGACAAATTTATTGTCGTTTTTGTTTTTCGCCTTCCCTCACTCCCCCCCTCCTCTATAAACTATTTAAGTACTCAAAGTTTCGCCCCGAACACACGTCGTCGTCGTCGTCGGATCTCCCGGCTACGACCGAGTACGCTTATCAGAAAATCAGTATTTATCTCGTAAATGTTTTATACGGACTTATTGACTTATCGACTTATCGACTATTTTTTTACTATTGTTCGTTACTGCATAGCGTTATGTGCCTACGCGTTCCCGCGTTCCCACGGTGAAAGCTAAAATAAAAAATCTTAATATCGGTATGTTATTATACTCAAAAACGTGGTGTTTTGTTCTGCAGTTTTGTTTGTTTGAACATAATAACATGTACACCGTAAATCATTACCAACTATCTGAATATTATTCTTATTGTATAATACTCGAAGCGATATTTTGATAAATCCGTATTGTAACGAATAAATTACGTAGTACGCGATAAGATAAAAAAAAAAATAATAAAAAAATGATAATAAATACGATTTATTTAGCCCACGTTATAGAGATAAAACGTCGCACGAATGCAACTCGAAACAATACAGTCTCCTCCGAGAGAAATAGTAAATATTGTCGATTCGGTTGTATAAAATTTGGAATTTTTTTTTTATTTGACGCGCAATACATTCTCAGAATAAAAATTATAATTTACACCGCGTTTGCTATCTCGAAAACTATCAGAGATTATCGGTACTTATAAAACGCTTAAATTTCGGATTATCCGACGGCTACGAAAAATCGTGTTATCGAAGAATTAAACTGTTATGTAGTACAACACAATAACTGTGGACCGGTATGCGGATATATATTTTTCGCGTCGACAGGAATGGTGGGTGGGATGTTGGGGGAATTCGCTAATTTTCAGGTCAGACGAGCCTAGTTAATAACATTTTCCCTATTAAATATATCGTTATCATAGGATATTTTCATGCCGTATAAATATTGAAAAAGTGAATTTTTTTGGACAGAATGAAAAACGTATGGTTTTACAATGATGTTTATTATTATTGTTATTATTATTATTTTTGACAACTTTTCTACCAGAAATTTTGCTCCGATTTTCAATGATAGAACTTTTTCTGAAAGAAAATTGGACAGGAGGGGTCAAGGAAGTCATTTTTTGATTTTCCTTGGATTTTTCTCAATAAATGGGAAAATATGGAAAAACCGAGAAAGGGGGATTATAATATAGGCACAATGTTAAACAAATATTATTAAAGAAAATGTTTAACGCACATGGAATTATTTTACCAAAATATGACATGTATATTGTTGAGAAAGCAATACTATCAACCGAACTCCGCTCAGAGTCGTTTTTCGTTAGCAATGGTTAATCGTTGCTTACAGATATAAATTAAATTCCCGTCCGTATTCTACCTTCCCAACTTCCCACGTACAACAATGGCTGGACCCGTCCCCATTAAAGTAGGACAGATTTTTTTTTTTTTCGGTTATTTATTCAACAATAACTTGTATTGGAAAATTAGTTATATTCGTACCTGTGTCGTTATAATGCACGTATACATTCGCGACGTTTGGAAAGTGTATCGAATACTCATCGGTATAATTTTCCGTCAATTACCAGTTGTTTTTTTTTTTTTTATTTTGTTAGGGTTTTATGTGTTCTTTTGCTTTGGGACGTTAGTTCAAATGTTTATCCAGTTGTATAAATCAACATATAACAATATAATATACTGTGTACAGTGTACTTCGCCGCCGAAAGTCACAGACGTTTTCGTCCGAACTGAACGTTAGTGTCCGCGGTTAATAACGTATTATAATAACTATACGGGACATCCTGTCCGGGAACCGTTTTGACCGCGTCCGGGTATCGGCCCGTTTAATTCCCGACCGACGCTGGTGTCCCGTTTACTTCCCGTCTGGTAAAGCCCTTCGGGCGGTCCGCACTCGGACGTTGCTAAAAGGAAGTCTATAATACCGCTTCCCGGACGGTCGAGTACCGAAACGGGACCTTGCCGTGACGATCAAGGGGGTGGTCTTGTGTAGCGAAAGGCATCGTGAGGTGCCCACCGCTGCGAGGGTAGGCCTTTGCCGCGTACACGGTATTAATAAATCATATACGATAATTAATAATAATAAAATGGTATAATATTATGGGGTGCGGTAGTAAAATATACGACGACGACGGCAAGAGGTCCGGCGGATTTTATAATACACCGCGGTCGACGCGCTTGCATAATATAGAGACGGGGATAGGAAAAGGCCGACACCGTTATTTTTGCGACACCGTGGCCGTATGTTATTACGATGATTATGCGACCTGTTCGGCGGTAACGGCAACCGTTCGGGGGAGGTGATGGCAATGGAGGGGAGGGCCTGATTGCGGACCGGACCACGATAATACACACGGTAATATTATTAATGAACCGGAACCCTTTTTGATAATGCTGGACGGCGGCTGCCGCTTTACGCCGACCCTATACGCTGGGGGTGCGCACCACGGGCGTAATTAAAAATTAAAATTAATATCGCTACACGCCCGACGTGTCCGGCGGCGAAATTATGTCGTCTCCGTCCTAAATTCAAATAAAAACGGCGACGAGGACGACGAGGACGCGACGATACCCAAACTATGCCGGCGTGTAATACAGATGGACGTCGTTTTTAAGACTCGCATTGGGACCGGCGCAAAGCGAGTCATATTGTCGAATGAACCTTATGAGCGAAGTGGCGAAAGCATAGCGTGTACATGGATCCGTCCGGACCGTTCCGGGTGATTCTGAGTCTATAATAAGCGACTGAACCTTATACATATCCGTGAGTCATCCTTTAAACGGCGTCCGTTGTATTTAGTGCACATGCGTGAAATTCGGGCAGGAGTGTAGAACAGCACCTGCCACTCTGTCGAAATTGAACGGGGCAACGCCCCCTTTGACGTGTCCAAAGTTACCCGGCAAGAGAGCGAGCCGCGGTCCAACGAAAGTCGAAAACCACCGAAACCCGAAAAACGCGCACTGAAATAACGCACGGAGTGTGTCGGGCATTGCTACCCCAACGAACGATATTGTAAATACACCAGTCGGACAGAAAAGTTTATCGTAACTCGGTAATCAGCTTATCGACTGTCGCTTCTTTATTGTGCGTTGACAATACCGTCGTACTTATATGATGAACCCGTACGAACCAAACCCAAGGTCTGTTTTACATAACGAAAATACATGTAAAATTAATTTCGATACAGAATCGATACAAAGAGAAAGACGACTGCACACGACATAAATATTTCATTTTGATAATAATTATATTGACTGGTTATAGAATTTATAGTACTTTTTTGATTATATTAATCATTAATAATCATACGTTTTTATCGTTATATTTTAAAGTCTGCGGGTACGCATACTAAAATGAAATAAACTTTGCTCTCTCCCCCACACACAACTTGCTCAAGTCACGCCAATGGTATTTCATATCGCGCACGAAACGCTGTTTTTAATACTATACCGACGCCGTTATCGAAAACAGTGTGCTTGCGACGAGGATTTTTGTTCTTGCAAGTCTGACGTCATGTGTGTGTATCTTTTGATGACATCACGTCGCGTACGCGTATCAAAAATATTATGTTTGTACTCGCTTTTTTCGTTGATATTGTGTGTGTTTAGGATGATATTTTAAGCGAGCGCATTTTTCCGGTCCGCAAATATGCCCCGTAATAGATTTTACCGGATAAAAACCGTGTTCAAACCTACTGCCGCGCGTATTATACACGTACACATAGAAACGTTGATTAAAAAATCGTCAAGCCCGAATGACAACCCGATTAAATAAAAAAACAACACAAAACGAAAAAAAAAAAAAGCAAAATCTCATCAAGAATGCATCGAAACATGCAGCGTTTCCTGTATGTTAAGCTTTTTGAAAAATCTACAAAAAAAAAAGTCTGGCAATTTTCCAATCGATTGGTTTTTAAGTATATGTGTAACGACGAATGGCGGACTTACGATTTCCGAACTTAAATTTTATATTATTGAAAATTCGACAATATTCGACCGGACTTATAATTGATGTGATTTTTCGGAACCGAAATTTTTAATCAAATTTCAACACTATTTCGGTACATTGAAAAAAAATTAAAAAAAAGGTACCGACATACTTCGCCACACGACGGGTGAGCCATTATTGTGGATGGTATGTTGGGATGGTATAGAATATAGAGGGGAATTTAATTTATATCTGTGCGCAACGATAAACCATTGCTAACGAAAAACGATTCGGAGCAAAGTTTCTTTTATTCGTGATGTACGTACGTTTTTGCTTTTTCCTAAGCATTTTCCGGAATCTTATGAAAACCGCTCGGTAAATGAAAAAAAATGACCTCCCTAAAGTATCGAGTAGATAAAATTTACTTTCGGAAATATGCTACGGTTGATATATCGGAGTAAGATTTCTGGTAGAAAAGTTGCTCAAAGATGAAAAAAAAATAAATAGATAAACTTCAATTGTAAAAACAATACATTCCTCGTCGCTATTCGCTCCGAGTCTAAAATGTTTCTGTTTGATAAATATTTCCACTCTCCTGTATATCATTTACGCGTCGAAGAACTGTTTTATTTGTTTTATAATAATATATACGCAACGTTTCATTTTCAAGACTCTACTGTGACGTTTTAAGCGAAGAAAAACGATTTCGTTCGTACGGCGCAACGCCCGAAACCGAATGCGTCCATGGGGAGCGCGTGTCGATGTTGCGATGTTGTTTGTGTTTTCGTGCTTAATGTCGAATTTTTTTTTTTTTTAAGGTTTTTGTTTATTTCACATGGGTACTCATCGTTATCGATGTGGACGACGTTTTCGACTCCGTAGATCCTCGACACGATATTGCAGCCCGCGCATCGTCGGTTTTTGTTCGCCGCGAACGACCCGACAACATTCACGTGTCATCGGTATCACGATAATATAGTTGTAGGCCCGTGACACATGACCAGTTACGTAGCGGCCAGCGAAGTGCTCGAAACGCCTTTAAATCCAAATGCACCGGACCGTTTAGACGAAAATCGTTTTACGCAATAAACCGACTTTAACGATAGGATTTCAACCCGCGTCGTTTTATTCCGTTTGCTGACGACCAAACAACCGTTATCATTGCAACGTACAAAAACTGCCACCTAAATTATACGAACGGACCGAAACGTAAATAACAATGAACGATTCGTGAATAATAATGAACGATTAAAGATCGGCGGACAGTAATTTATAGTAGTACGTCAATCGCACTCGGCTGAAACAATTGACCGCAGGGACACACGCGCTCATGATGATGCGCGTTCACAATTTAGAAAACCGGGTGCGCTATGACGCGGAGTCGCGCTGCAGCCGTAATTATTAAAAATGATAAATTACGAATATGTGGGTGCGTTTAAAACGGTTTGGTTTAAGAGGATGCCAAGGGCCCGCACGCGTCGCCTTCGTCTTACTATATGACGCACGGCACACGCAAAACTACGTTTAGATCCGATGAATCATAGAGCCATTTGAAAAATACAAAAACCGACGCGGCTGTGACTTTTTTTTTTTTGACGATTTGTAAATGTCAATAGCCCGCGTGTTTAAACTCCAATTTCAAACGCCACAGTTCAGACGGATCTGACGTGTATCACAGTATACGATTACTATTGAATTATATTTAAAAAAAAAAAAAAAAAAAACCGGCATATTATCAATATATTATATTAAAAATTACGGTGGCCCCGAGGTCGGTGACGATCACGCGGTTACAAACACGATTGAAAAGAGACGTAATAGAATATATATATTGGTTTTTTTTTATTTTTAAACAATGATGAATCGACGGATGCAAATAAGACAATAGTATAATGTAGGTCTACCTGTATATATATATATACGGGCTGCGGTGAAAACGAAAAAAAAAAAAAAAAAAACGAGAGAAAAATCGCCGATAATGGAGTTCGACACAGAGTACTCTTACGGAACGTCATCGACGGTAAATTAAAAAAAAACCACGGTGAATATTCTCCGGTCGTTAACGACGCGTGGCGTATAATATTACGGTGACGCGGTAAAACTGCAGCGGTTTGACACGGCCGAATATTATTATCGTCGACCGCGGTAATGGTTACGGTGCACAGCTTTATCGGATGTACCGTGAATTCCGAGGAGACTGTAAAAGAAGAACCCGCGTCGTCAAAGTTTCGTTTTATCGAGATCGCACCACAGATATGTACTGGGGCTCGGATTTGAATGCACTGAAAATCAACCGAAAAACGATCTGAAAAACTAAATATGCATTTTACCGCGAAAATTCTGTTAAAAATTGGCATGCGAATTTGTTTGATTTATTGTTTTATCGGGTAATTTATAATATTCTTATTTGAAAAAGAAAAAAAAACAGAAAATCGTAAGACCAAGCATATTGAATCGATTATGTGCAAATATGCGATAAAATGAAAAAAAAAAATACCGAAAAATGACGTGAAAACGAAAAAAACGTTCAAAAAAATGGAAAAAAAAAACGAATGTTTCGCCTTCGGAGTCTCCGGTACAGTCGCGTACTCGGAAAACGTTGTCTAATATCGCTCAGAAAAAGACGCGTTTCGCGTTGATATCCGGACCCGAATATCAACTGTACACACCGAACCGACTCCGTTACACAACAATTACCGTTATGACGCCCGGCGCCATTTGTCACTCGGGCAACGTTTACGAATTCTTATCGTTTTTCGCGTTGCCCCAATAAGTCGCGAACCGCGTTACGTGTATAACGTCCGCAAAGGCCCGCGTCACTGTTGCGGACATTCCGAGCGCCTCGTTTTTTTTTTTTTGTTTTTTTCTCGAAGGGAAACAGCGTCGCGACCACTGTAACCGGCCGCGATCTAGCCGTTTCACCTTGTTCTTCCCACCTCAGAACCCGTGTTTGTTTATCCCGCGCGATGTATTATAATACACGGCGGGTTACCGTGAAAATCCGCGCCGATATATTTTTCGTCGAGAGACGTATCGGAAACGAACCGTTGACAATTTCACGCGTTACGAATCGCACGCACGCACGCACGCAATTCAAAAAAAAAAAATAAAATAAAACGGAAAACTGAAAACCGAAGAATTTTAATATTTATGTATGTGTGTGTGTGTGTGTAATACTCTCGCGTATTTGCGCAGAGAAAATAACCGCGACTTCGTCTCGTTTTGAATTTCTTTCAAGTATACCTACTCAGTACTCGTTGCAGTATACCTGTGTGTGCGATTGTGTGGACTAGCTGTGTATACTTTACGGCAGCGGCGGCTGTCTGAGTTGACACTCTTTGAATGATTTGGTTCGTTAAGTGTGTAAACGCCGTCTCTACTACCCTCCGCCCTCGCCCCCCTCCCCCCACGACCACCTCCCCTCGGCCACCACACGAATGGGTATATATTATGTACATAATATTATAGTATAGGTACACATGCGCACTCACACGCGTATATATACATCACTTTGCATGTGTATTTATCGAATAAAATTCCGCCTCCCCGCCGCCCGGATTTCATCTTCCGAGGGTCCGCATTCCCGTACACTATACAGTCTCTCCTCTCCGCCCGTTATCCCACTTAGTTACTTAGTGGCTAAAAAAAAAAAAAATAAAATAAAAAATAAACCCTACAAATTAATCCTAACCCGCGGCGTAACGGTCGTAATCAAATTGCACACACTCGAGTTTATACCACTCGGAAATTCTTTGAAAATCCGAAAAACCCGGGTTTATGTTTTATGCTATTTGTTTTTCATCCACTCCGACAATTAAATTTGTCAAATTTTAAATTGTTGTAAATACTTTCAGTGACTTTTTATATAGCGTACCAATTGAATTCAAACTCGGAAATTCGAGTTTTTTTTTTTATTTTAACGGTCGTATAAAATTTCAGTATGAATTTCATCTATGATGTTTCGGTAGGAGATTAATTTTTTTTTTTTTTTTAAACTCTGATCACCTCTATACAGACTTTTCAAATGAAGCTAGAGGGATGACATTTTATACGCGCATGGCTTTTAGGAATTTCAACTTTCAACAATCTTAGCAGCCGCGGCCGAGAATTTCGTGTTTTTATCAAACAAAAAACCCATCGTAAATATCAATTACTAGTATATTCGCATATTATGCGTGTGCCCAAACTCGGTCGGTACCTATACACCCAAAATCCAATATCGT